AGGGACTTCCCTGGCAGTCCAGCGGTTAAGACTCTGCGCTTCCACTGCAGGGGCCACAGGCTCGATATCTGGTCGGGGAACTAAGATCCCCGCATGCTGCGTGGCGTGGCCCCCAAAGTTAATAATGATAAATAAATAAAATGGTTAAGATGGTAAATTTTATCTTATGTGTATTTTACCAAAATAAAAGAACATACGGCCCCAGAAATCAGCGAAGGATCTCAGAGACCAGAACTGGAGGGGCAGGGGCCAGCCAGAGCTCTGCAGTCTGCAGCCAGTGGAGCCGGGCCTCCGGCCTCTCCCCAGCCCCAGGCCAAGCAGGAGGAAAAGAAACTAGAAGCTCCATCGGCCAAAAGCAGGAAATCAGAGATGAAGCGTCAGAGCGGGTGGGGGCGGGGGAGCGCGTGGGACTGCCCCACCCTGGGAGGGTCGCCGGGCGCCAGAGCCCGCACAGGGCCTGCCCTGGAGGGGCGACAACAGCCCCTCAGAGTCATTCATTCATTAGACACAGAGGGCAGAGACAGGATGAGCGCCGCCTGGGACGCGAGCGCCTCCACCAACACAGATGAGGAAACAGAGGCCATGGGGCGGCTAGGAGCGCGGCCCCCCAGAGACTGGCCGCCAGATGATCCCCCTGCCAGGAAGCTGGCACCGGCAGGCAGGTGGCGCCAGACAGCCCTGGACGCTGACCCAGGGGACGTGAGCCAGGACAGCTGGGCCCGCTGGCCCCCAGCCCCAGCAGGGTCACCCAGGGCCAGGATGAGAGAGGGGGCTGGGGTCACATTCCCAGCCCACCTCCCCTGCCTGTTTTCAGGGCCTGGGGACAGGGTAAGAGGCCAGCAGAGCAAACAGTGGCCCGGGGCCAGCACGGGAGCAGGGAGCAGAGGCAAACAGGGCTCTAAACGGGGAGCTGAGCCGACTCTCACGTTCTCCCCTGTTCAGAGGGGGAATCAGGTTCCCACAGGAGAAGGGCTTCCGTGCTGGGAGAGTGAGGACTTGGGTCCAGACTCCTGGCTCCACACCTAGCCCTCGGGGCCGCTGGTCTAAGTGCCACGAACCTGGCCTCACTGTGACTCTGCATGAGAAGGAGGCTCAGGGCATCTGAGCAGGCCGCCTGGAGGAGGTGGCATTGCATTTGGCCTCGAGGGCTAGCTAAGACTCAGGGAAGGCCAGGGGAAGTTTGGGGCAGCCCCCGGCTCCCACAGAGGAGGAGGACGCTCAGGTGGAGAGGCGGTGGGGACGTCCTGAGGAGGGGGACAGGCCTGCTCTGCCCAGGCAGTTCCCACCTCCCCATCAGAGCTGCCGGTGGCTGGTGACCTCATGGGGGAAATATGCCTTTTCCTGAGCCAGGAACAATAGGATGGGGTGAGGGCAGAGGGAAAGCCAGCAGGGCTGCCTGCGGGGCAGGAAAGGCTCCCCCCACCCCTGCCTGCATGTTTAACCCTTCAGAGACCCTCACCCAGCACATCAGAGCCTGGTCCTGCAGATGGCAAAAGTGACCCCTGGTCTCAGTTGGTGCCCAGCCAGGAAGGGAGGGCAGGGAGGCCGGCGTGGAGGTTACAAACACCCGGGACGTTCCACACAGAGCTGGACACCACGGCCCGGCCTGCAGGGAGATGGGGGGCCTGTGGGGAGGGGTTCGGCCAGACGTCGAAGCCCCCAGGTGCACCCGCGGTGCCGTGACGTCACCCCAAGGCTGGCCTGCACCCCGGGTGGAAGAAGAGGACACGAGGCCCGTCCTCCCGAGGGAGCTTGAGGAGGCCGCCCGCCCCGAGCCTCAGTTTCTCCACCTGTGAAGTGGGGGAAGGCGTGCCAGCGTGAAGGGCTGTGGGAGGGATGGGCAGCTCTTCACGCACCCCCGGGCTCCTCACCTTGACCCTCCGAGGAGTGTTCTAGCCCCATGCGGGGAAGCCCCGGGACACACAGGAGGCCAGCCTGAGCACCATGCCATCGGCCAGTGGGACCCACAGGCCAGCGTGGGTGGGGGACCCCAGAGGCTTGCAGGGGCAGCACGAGAAGGCTCAGAGGTCATGCGAGGCCTGTGTCAGCATCAGAGATGAAAGGACAGTGGGCCTGGGAGAGACCCAGGGAGAGGCCAGGACTGGGGGGGACGCACCACGGCCGCCATGACTGCCCAGCACCCGTGAGGGGCACGACTGTCGCCTGTACTTTGCAGGTGAGGAAACTGAGCGAGGGGGCTGAAGCTGAGGGATGCGGGCTGACGCCCCCCAGAAATGGTGTGGGTCTAGGTGGCCCAGAGAGCAGAAGTGGGTGGGTGAGGGTCAGCCCCAGGCGCTGATGAACCAGCCCTACAGGACAGCCTGCGGGGGACAGATGCAGCGGCGGGGGGGGGGGGGGGGGGGGGGCGGGTCCAGGACTAGCAGGTCTGCAGGGTCAGCTGTGGGAAACCAGGGCTCAGGCAGAGCTGCCCGCCCTCCCACCAGGCTGGGGGACAGCCAGGCCCCTTGCAGGGCGGCCAAGGCCATGGCACATGGAAAAACGGGGTGGAGGGTGGCAGGGCGTGGGGCCCAGAGTCCAGGAGCTACCGCAGCTCACCGGCCCCTTCCTCCTCTTCTTGCTGGGCCCTGGCTCAGGGTCACGGGGAGGAGGGCCGTGGGCTGAGTGCTTGGGAAGAGCTTCTGGAAGGAGGCGGCTCAGTGGCAAAGAGCCCGGGTCAGGGGCCATGGAACTCATCCCAGCCTCAGTCTCCCCACCTGTGAAACGGCTGGAGGCCCAGCCCTGCAGGAGACGCGGGCCCCTCTGGGCCTCAGTTTCCCCAGCTGTTGGGTGGGAGGGGTCATAACCACTCCCG